AACAAAATGGAAAAAATGCTGATGATTGTCGAGAACCTGGCTCCTTCAGAACTCCTCCACTCAGGCACTGACCTTAAACAAAAACATTCGTAAACTCTAAATCAACTAAGAGCATGGGGGGCAAAAACTGGAGATATGACCAAGTGGAAGTTGAAGAATGTCTAGGCTTTCCACATTCACATTCGGGGCCAAACACTGCCTGATGCAATGCCCTCTGTCAACATCTTGCACTTTGAGGAACTATTTGAGAAAAGTGATAACACCAGGTCTTGGTTGCAGTTTTGGAGCAATAAGCTATGCTGCTGGTGGTCAGTAAAAAGAGAGGTTCTTTCTAATCCAAATTTTCTGCTGGTTTTACAGACAGTTAAACAACTTCAGAGAGCCAGTAAGGAAGCAGGCTTTTTTTAATATATACATGTATATATAGAGCCCTACCAAATTCATCGTCCATTTTGGTCAATTTCAGCCATAGGATTTTAAAAATTGTAAATTTCATTATTTCAGCTATTTAAATCTGAAATTTCACAATGTTGTAATTGTAGAGGTCCTGACCCAAAAAGGAGTTGTGTGTGTGTGGAGGGGGATGGGTCGCAAAGTTATTGTAGGAGGGGTTGCAGTACTGCGTCTTCAGAGCTGGGCAGCAGCAATGCAGAAGTAAGGACAGTATGGTATGATATAGCCACCCTTACTTCTGCGCTGCTGCTGGCGTGGCGCTGTCTACAGAGCTGGGTGCCCGGCCACTAGCCGCCGTTCTCCAGCCACCCAGCTCTGAAGGCAGTGCAGAAGTAAGGGTGGCAATACTGCAAACCCCTAAAATAACCTTGTGATCCTCCCTGCAACTCCCTTTTGGGTCAGGGCCCCCAATTTGCAAAACACTGGTCTCCCCCATGAAATCAGTACAGTATAGGATAAAAGCACACAAAAGACCAGATTTCACAGTGGGAGACCAGATTTCACAGTCCGTGATGTATTTTTCATGGCCATTAATTTGGTAGGGCCCTACTAATAGGATAATTTCTCTCCATTCAAAGAAGTTACAATTAGCAACATGGAAACAGTATTTAAGTTACCATCCTAGCCTAGTAAATCTAACCATGCTACCACTAGCAATATCAACAGTGGCTTTAAGAAGACTGACATTTAGTCTTTAGAGCCAGTCAGGAACCATACACATCTTACACTATTGGTTACTATCCCACCATTAGAGCTGTAAAGATGGACATGCTAGTGCAGACAAGATGCCAGCAGGCACCAGTTTTAGCCACCATATAGGGTAGCCCTATTCTGAGCATGGTGAGCTGACAGCCGATAGAACGCTGTGAGCTGGTCTCTGTGGCACCCCCACCACTCCCACTGCTGTAAAGACAGTCCTCCAGGCTCACCAGCCTGGTGTACTTAAACTATCTCCACACTTTGAAACAAAGATTTTAAGATCTGTAAACTTTTGCAGTATGAAGACAAGATATGTATTAAAAAGCATCAGTGAGAACGGCAGCTTGGGGAAATCCAGTTCAGTCACCACCTTTATCCCTCTACACCCCTACAGGGATCCACAGCAGTTATAATAGTTGCAAACTGGAATCCGCTCACAGTCACTACACTACTGCATCAGTTTTTGTTTTTAAGACTATGGAGAGCTGACTGGAGTCCTTGTAAGCACCAAAATAGGAGACTTTGCATGCTCTACAAAATGAGAGACGCTACACTGTTTTAAATCTTGATCCTATTATGGTTCCCCATCCCCAGGAGCGAGAGACTCACTGCAGGTACGTAATAAGAGTGCCTTGAGAAGACAGGAACTGTAAGGGAAAGGTGAAAAATACAAGGGACTAAGGAGTTCCTCAATGCAATAACTTTCTTGCCAATCAGTATTTAAGGGACATAAACATGGCTGGCCTAAAAAATGTCTTACCTTAAATACTGTCCCATAATGAAAGTTTACTTTCAGGATTCTAGGAGCATCTCTCAGCCCTTCCCAACAAATCCATTGTGTTCTCATAAGACACACACTTCGCTTGTTGGACCTCGTGCACATTACACATTTTTGCACAGGTATAGCTACACTGGTACAAAATCCCAGAGTAAATGCAATGAACCAGTGTGACTTACTTCAGTTTCCAACTCGATAAAGTCACAACTGGTGCAACCCCAACTTTACACTGGTCAATCCATAACATAGACAACCCTTTGACCCATAACAAACAAAATGAGGGGGACAAACCACTGCATGCTTGTTTATTTTTAGAATGCAGCATAGATTCTAGTTTTAGAAGGCCAATTTACACCATTTATTCCTATCTCCCTATCAGTGCAGTATGTGTTATTTTACACTCACTACTCAGTCTACTTTTAAGTGTGCCAAGTGATGCTGCTTCTGCTACTTCCCTTGGGAGATTACTCCACAGGCTATAGATCTGCCAGGAATCTTTTCCTGATGTTCAGTCCAAGTTTTCCATTTCTGAATTTACATACCATTACTCCTAGCTATAGCTTCTTGTATTTAAGTTCTAAGCCATAACAGTCCATCAATATAAAAGTTTTACATTCACAGATAGAGAAGGTGATGCTATTATCTCTGATAGAAATGATACTGGAAGGCAGAATGCAATTACACAGCTGCAGTTTAGTCAGGGACACCAGCCATCTGCACCCATGGAAAAAAAGGCAATTTTTAATTATTAAAAATCCTGAGTATGGTGACAGTTTTACACAGTACTCTATAAACATACATCCGTATACATTTTACAACTATGCTAATAAGGAGTTTTAACATTGAACAAGATAGGACAAGTTTGACGAGCTAGCAGAAATTTCAGAGAACAAATGCTGAGGATGTTTTTTGATAGCTAACAAGTCATAAATGCAAGATTTTCCAACTGCACTAAAAGGAGTGAAGAAATCCAATTTAAAAATCTTCTCGAGTTAAAGGCAAAAGCAACCATGACTGTACTATGTTTTGTATATTATTTTCTAAAAGGTCAAAAAGGTACTGAAAGTATTTTAAAAATTATTTAACACACCACAAGACATCTCCCTTGAGAATCAGTTTGCCTCTTCATCTTTTATAGAAAGTAGCTTGAACACCAGAACCATAGCACTGCTCAGACTGAAAGCGTTGAATGCATTTCCTCAGGGGTGACCGTAAATTTTACTTTTTGTGGGGATTTCTCTTTGTGTCTCCAGTGTGGAGGAAAATTTTCCACAGATATCTCATTTCATTCTCTAAATGCAGAACTGACTGGGTGTAGGGGGGGGCAGAGTTTCGAAACTCCCACCTAATGGCATAAAAGCCACAACGAGAAACTTAAGGGGCTGTCCGTTCACATGCCCATATTACACATATATTAGTATTTTGGCTTTTTAACCACTGTTTTAAAATATGGGGTTTCTTAGCAAGCCAGATTAACACCATCAGACAGTGTATTTGTAATTCAAGCATAGTAAGTGATCAGACAAAGGTGCATTCTACAGCAAATATAGCAAGACACCAGCTGTAGCACCCCCCACCAGATCTCTCTGAACTGTTACCTTGCCCTGGGGTGCTGCAGCAAGCTGGCTTCCCCCAAAGCCCCAGGCTGCCCATGCAGAAAAGCGCCAGTCTCAGCACTCAGTCTGGGTTTAGAGAGCAGCAAATGCTTTCCAGTCTGGGTTTCAGAAACAGCTCATTTAATCTCATTCCACTGAACTGACTGCCCAATACTCAGCAAACAGGAGCAAGTGGCTATTTAATTGCAGGTTCCTCTATGACCTCTTAAAGGAGAGCCCATGCTCTCCCTACTTGAGCATCTGCTGATTGCTGGTGCCCCGCTTAGAGACACAAGGCTGGTCAGGTAGTATTTTGCATTGGACCAACTTCTGTTGTCATTTGAACAAAGTCACCCCCATCCACAAACAACTTCACTGACTTCTTATTTATTTCAGCCAGCTAAAACTACTCTCCTTGTTTTCAAAACCCTCTGTGGATTTGACCTGGGCTTTGTTTTCACTGCTAAAAAAGGTGTGGTTTTACCACTGGTTAATTAGTGCTCATTTAGTTAGCTACTGTGCTGTAAAATCCTAGTGGAGACAAGGCACCACACCTAGAGCATAGTGCTGACTTTGCAGTAAAAAACACAGGTGCCATTGGGCAGGTCTACACTTAAAAAGGTGCAGCTGCGCCACTATAGTGCTTCATTATGTCCATACCTATGTCCCCTCGAGTAACCATAGCACTGTCTACGCAGGGGGCTAGGTCAGTATAAATACATCTCTCAGGGCTGGGGATTTTTCCCATCTTCTGGGCTGTGAAGACATAACTTCACTTACTTTGGGCCATATTCTGGTTTCAGTCACGGTGACATAACTGTGGAACTCCTCCCCCTAAAACTAGGGATTACTCCTGATTTACACCTGTGTAACAGATCAGAATCCAGCCCATGCGTACCTCTCCCCTCTTGCTTGGTCATTTAGGCACCAGGGTGCTGCAGCCTTATCAGAGTCGAGGTGCAAGCGTCACAAGGGTGTGCGCATGCTAGGGACACTTGAACCAGTGTAACAACATCAGCACAGGTTTCAGAGGAGCAGCCGTGTTAGTCTGTATTCGCAAAAGGAAAAGGAGGACTTGTGGCCCCTTAGAGACTAACCAATTTATTTAAGCATAAGCTTTCGTGAGCTACAGCTCACTTCATCGGATGTGGGCCCCCGGGGCCTTAAGCAATAGCTTAGTCTGCTTATGCCTAGCCCCGGTTCTGCCCCCTCCCTGCAAGCTCAGGTCAGCCCCGCTTCCCTGCGAGTCGCCAGCCCGGCGGGGCCGCCCCTGCTGCCCTAGGAGCTGGGGGGCGCGGTTCGTCCGAAACCAGGCGGAACTCAGGGCCGATTCCCTCGGAGCGCGGGGTCACCCGGGAGCGGGGCCGACAACCAGCGAGCGCTGCCCGCCGGACCCAGGCAGCCCCCAGGGCCAGCGAGCCACGCGGACCCGCCCAGGCACCCCGGGGAGCGGACTCGCCCCTGCCGGCGCTCACCTGGCCCGCGCAGCACGGCGCGGACATCCCCGCTCCCGGCGGCGGGGCTCGGCTCCCGGCAGCGTCCGCAGCCAGCGAGCAGGGGGCGCCGCCTCACCCGGCCCCGGCGAGGCTCAGCGGCAGCCGCCCCATGCGGAAGCGGCCAGCCCGGGAGACAGCCCTAGGTGCCCCCGCGCCTTGGCTCGGCGGGCAGGACACAAGCGCCCAGCTCGCTCCAGGCAGCCGGACAGGACTTTAGCCCAGCCCAGCCCCTCGTGCAGAGCTTCCGCTGTCGTCAGGTTGGCGGCGCGGCACGGCCCTCATTGGCTTTCCGCCGCAGGGAGCGTCTCCAGCAGTTGACAAGAACTTGGAGGGGGGGGAATAAACAAGGGGAAAGAGTCAAATTGTCAACTGCTGGAAATGGCCCACCTTGATTATCACTACAAAAGGTGCCCCCCCCCGCCCCCCTGCTGGCAATTGCTCACCTTTCCTGATCACGCTGGTTACAGCGTGCGTGGTAACACCCATTGTTTTATGTTCTCTGTGTATATAAATCTCCCCACTGTATTTTCCAGGGTATGCATCGGATGACGTGAGTTGTAGCTCAGGAAAGCTTATGCTCAAATAAATTGGTTAGTCTCTAAGGTGCCACAAGTCCTCCTGTTCTTTTTGCAGATACAGGCTGCTACTCTGAAACCCAAGAGTCCAGTGGCTCAGAGGAGAATGAGTGTGTGGCTAAAACAAACGATCAGGGTTCAAAATAGCCGATTCTAGTCCCTGGTCTTGGTGGGCTGCGTCTAGGCTGTGGGGGGTTATGCCAGCAGAGCTACAGCGCTGTACCTATACCGCTATTGTCAGTCTACACCGGCACCGCTTTAACGTGCCTTGTGTGGTCCCGGAGTAGCAACCACCTCCAGGAGGGGAGCAGCGCCCAGCGGTGGTGCACTGTCTACACTGAGGCTTTACAGCGCTGAAATTTGCTGCGCTCAGTGGGGTGTTCTTTCACACCCCTGAGCCAGAAAGCTGCAGTGCTGTAAATTGCCAGTGTAGACAAGCTGTCATGTAGATCTTAGTGCGTCCCTGGGCGCCAAACCAGCAGCCCATGGTTCTTTGCACTTTTATGATAATAAAACACAGAGCTGTAACTAGGCATTTTAGCACCCAGCGAGAGCAAGCATCTTTGTACCCCCTAACATTTTTTGGGGTCATTTTTCCACCCAGAAGTGTTATGTGGCTCCCCAGATGTTTTGGTTGCACCCCCACACACCCCAAATCAGACAGGCTGGGTGGTCTGCTAAGGTGAGTCGGGGTGGAGGTGGTGCTCCTCCACTCCCCAGCACCACCACACCGGACTGGCCCTAGCAAGCAGGTCTTTATGTTGCCTCCGTTTTTGGCCCCATTTTCCCACCTCTTTGGCTTTGCGCCATGGGTAGATGCCCCTCTCAGACTATGGCCCTGATAAAACTGCTACCTATATGATGTTAAATACACACACATACTCAGTCACCCCTCATCCCTCCTGCCCCATGAAAGTATATTTATTTCTGGTAATAACATTACAGGCCATTTAAGGGAAGGAATTTGTACAGTATGTTCCTACATTGCGGTGTTTTTAGAGTCAATAATCTTGGGTGTGAGTTTGTAAAACTCCAAATGAGACACAGACCTGCAAAACACATGGCCACTGGGAGGGATTTTTCTCCACAACAAATCTTCCCTAAAAGTCAACTCAGCTGTTTCATCCTGTTGCAAATAAAAGAAATAAATCCTTATTTCTTTCCATTGCCTTCCAGGATGCTTTATTTCAACATCTTCTATACCACAGTGTAAACAGGAGCCTTGGCTGATGAGCAATTAAGAACCACCACGTTATTGTGTTTTTAACATTAGCTAGTTAGTTATTTGGTGCTTTTTTATGGTGCACATCCCTATAGGATCTGAGGCTTCAGAAACATCAACTAATTTATCCTCACAACTCTTCTGTAAGGCAGATGTTCGATTAAAGTAATAATATGTGTATGTTATGGGAAAATGTGAGAAAGAAAAGCCTAGAACAGACCCTGGATTGGCCTGACCATTAGAAGGAAATAGGCCTCTCAGCCTGCTGAGTCTGTGCTAATTGAGATATGCCTGTCAGTTTATAAGGTCTGTGTTAATTGTAGAAACACATCCCGAAACAAAAAGTCTGTTCTAAAGTGATAAGATTACCATTAAGGGCAGCTGGTGTTACAACTGTTTTCCTGAACTCAGGAATAAGATCTGTTAACCCCCATACTTACATTTTTATCTTGTTTGTTTTCTTTTTATGTAACAAGTGATATGAATAGGTTTATTGGAGTCTGTCATGCCCCAGTGATTTTAGAATGGTTATGTTAAAGAATGAATAGGTAATAAAATGTAGATGTGATAGGAAAAAATGTTAATTGAAATAGAGCGATTGCGATTGTATGTTTGTAAAGTTGAAGCACCAGCCTTAGAATCATAATAAACGACACCACATCTGGAGGAAGAAAAACAGCTACCCTCCGACAGGACCATTTGGCCGAAGAATGCACTGGGAGAGATAACCCGATAACCCTGAATCCATCCCAACTGCCCCAAGGACAGGGAGAACCGAGGCAACAAGATAACAACAAACCGTCATTGCTGTGCCATCTGCGTGATTGATTGTCACTTCAAACGTGAGAACACCATGACAAGGCAAACCCCATAGACTTGGATAAGGATGGATCCCTATAAAGACAGACCCTAAAGACTGAGGACTTTGGGTCTGTTTGTGCAACCAACTTCCAGGAGCATCGGATGCGCATCTGACAAGGCCCGGCTCCATCCTCGTGTCCAGGCCACCTGGCTAGTGACTTGTCATGAGCAACTCCTAGACTGGTAATTATGATAACAACCTTGCAGAACTTGTGTGTGTGTGAATGAGTGTGTGAGTTAATGGAATGTTATAGCTATAACTGGTTTCAGAGTAGCAGCCATGTTAGTATGTATTCGCAAAAAGAAAAGGAGTACTTGTGGCACCTTAGAGACTAACCAATTTATTTGAGCATAAGCTTTCGTGAGCTACAGCTCGCTTCGTCGGATGCATACTGTGGAATACTTTCCACAGTATGCATCCGATGAAGTGAGCTGTAGCTCACGAAAGCTTATGCTCAAATAAATTGGTTAGTCTCTAAAGTGCCACAAGTACTCCTTTTGTTATAGCTATAACTGATTGCTTACTCTGATTCTTTCTGTATTCACAATAAACGTGGTGTATTGCCTTATCCCTGGAATAAGATCCTGCTGGTTTTCATTTTCTAAGTATAACACAGAGGAGTATTATTATCCCTATTTTTACATATGGGGAAATGGAGGTACAGAGCTACTGAAGAGTATGACTCAGCCCCACTCAGGGGAACATGCTTGTGGACTTCCTAGATTGCTCTTACTAGGGTAACCAGCAGCTACATGCCTGATACTCCGGAGGGTGAGGAAAAAGCAGGATGTTGGCTCTGTCCCCAGCGCCCAAGGCTCCAGCTCCAGAAAAGGATAGAGGTGGCAGATTACTTCAGCCCAAGAGCAAGGAAGGAATTATGTCTCCTAAAACAGATTATTTCCCTCCTGGAGCGGCACATCTACACCCTATCCCTTACATAGGGCTGTGCCTAAAGGCACAATCTAGCCTGAAGCGACATGTCCAAGATCATACTCAAAATCTGTGTCAGGACTCAGAATAGAATCATATCTTCTGAGTGCCAGTCCAGTGTCTGAACCTTAAAACCATCATTCCTAGCAGCTGCTTATGGGTAATGATTATTCCTCAACAAAATCCATAGACTTCAGTGCACTTGTCTTGCACACTAAACACAGTAGAGTTACACAGTGGGCCTAGATCTTGATCTCACTTAAACTAGTGCATATAAGTAGTGGATCCATTCAAATCACTGGAATTATAATACTGGGATCAGATTAGTGTGAGCTCAGAACCATGTAACAGAGACTGTAATTGAAGTTAGGCCAATAAAAGTTATTACCTCACCCACCCTATCTCTGGTTCACTAATAAGCATTTTAAAAATTCCTTATTTTTACTATTTAGACTACAGTGGATTCAATGTGAAAAGTTTGTAAACATAATTTTTAAAAAGGCCATGCATCTGCATGATCTCTTCTTGAAAGTCTACAAATATAAATTTACATTGTGATAAACTGACCTCTACTGGACAAAATCTGAACAGCTCAGCTGTGTCCCATAGGTGTTATATTGCTCACAGCTAAAGGAAAAGAACCTTTTTAAGCTCAAATGATGGAAGTCTTTGCTTCTAGAACAGCAGGCTCTGAGCTCTAGCCCTATTGTTGCTGTTAAGTTTTCGGTGGCCAATGTATGTAGCAAACTGAGATCTGAAGTAGTGGTGGCAGTCATGGATTTCTCACATTCCTATAAACAAAAGGCATGTGAAGCATTGTTTTTCTTGCTATTGCAAACAAAGAAGATGAAGCATAAGATAAATGTAGATGATCTTGCAGTAGTGTGACAGCTTTTTGAGAAGATGGCTGAATTTAATATACCATGCACGGCACTTTTTATAGACTTCTGTCAGGCCTTTGATTCAGCGCATTGAGCAAATGTGTGGGATCCAATGAGGCAACTTGGCATGCATGGAAAGATACTGTCATTGACAGAAGAGTTCTGTAATGGAACAGGAAGCAGTGTTCCAAGTCAATGGCAGATACAAGGCATGGCTTCCTTTTTCCCCAGGAGTCCAGCAAGCTTGTGTGCACCCACCATCATTGTTCAGTATCAGCATTGATTAGTTGATGGATAAGTTTGGAGACAACTGTCAGTGGTACTGAGCTGAACGCCATTCTGCTTTGCACCTTGAATATGCTGATGACATTGTCTTGTTGGCTCAGTCTGGTGAATCTCTGCAGCTGATGGCTGATGTGGTCAGACAAGAAGCAGTACACAATGGTCTGCTTATTAATCCAGAGAAAACTAAGTGTCTGGTCATTACCACCAAGCAGCCTTGAGCTCCAGATTAAAATCAGCACAGTATTAACCTGTCTGGATGGGACATGGAGCCGGTAGCAACTGTCAAATACTTGGGCAGCATCATCATAGACAGCAGTAGGTGGTGCTCAAAAGATATGGCCCCTTGTATAGCCAGGGGCAACTCTAATGCAGATTCTGCCTAGGGTGTCCGGGGAGGCCAGGCCAAACCTGAGTGGTGCTGCAACCCCATCTGCCAGGTTGCAATTCCACTCACTCAAATTTGGTTGGG